AACACCCGATCCTTCATCATTGGTGCTTTCATTGAGAGTGATCGATTGGGTGTTCGTGAACTTTTTCTATCCCATTCTTTTTCTTTTTGTTCGATTTTTTGGTTTCTTTGTGTTTGAATTGTTTCGAATTTTTTCACAAATTTTCGAAAAAATTTCGTGAGTCTTAAAAAAAAAAAGTGTCATCTAGTCTTTTGTTCTTTTTTCCTCCCTTTGGTTCGAATTCTTTCGAATTCTTCTTCTTTCTTTTTCGAATTTTTTAGAGTCTTAAGAAAACAAAAAAAAAGATAGAGTCATGACGAATCGCGAGAGATTCGATGCACTTGAGGAAAGCGTGAGGTCCCTTGGCAACGGACAACACGTGGTCAATGAAAACATGGCAAAGTTGGAGCTGATGATACACGACTTGGCGGGACAGCTCGAGAGAGTCAACCACCATACGCGGAGGAGCCGCACATTAAGATCAACCTTGGCGGGAATGGGCAGGTCGACGTCTAGTCGCGATGACGACGACAAACGGTCGCGGGGAACGCGCGCGATGCGCACTACCCGACACCACGGAGATCGCAGGATGCACGGCCATCGGCATCATCGCGAGGAGCACGTACGTGCGAAACCGAAGATAACGATGCCGACGTTCGAAGGAGTAGATCCGGATGCATGGTTAAGTGGTGCCGTGCAATTTTTCAAAATCAATGAGGTACACAAGTCTGAAAGAGTTCAAATTGTTGCCTACTACTTGGATGGTGAAGCCAACACATGGTGGCAATGGGTGTCACATGTTTACAAGAATAAAGGCGAGCAAATTAGATGGAGAGATTTTGAGAAGGAGCTCATCGCCAGGTTTGGATCTAGTGAATACTATGATTACGATGAGGCTCTGACAAAGATCCGTCAAACTGGAAGTCTACGCGACTATCAGAAGGAGTTTGAGAGGATTGCAAGTCGGGTCCGGGATTGGCCCGAAAAGGCACTTGTAGGTGCGTTTGTAGGAGGCTTGATGTAACACCCCGCTATTTTAATAATATCAGAGTACGTATTTTTCGCAAATTTTCTGAATAATTTAATAAAATATTTATTTGCGAAAGCTGATTCGGGGTGCCACCGTGAAAATTTGACTGAAAAACCATTAATTTTAAACTGAAAATAAAAATGGTTTTATAATGATATGGTGAAGACGGGAATGAAGACCTGTCCCACAGAGTGGATTAACGTAGTGGATCTGGTGGCCAACGGGAATGAAGACCTTAAAGTAGCACAAGGTACGAGGGAGCGCGGGACACGAGGTAATGATGAGCCCTGGCAGATGAAAGGACGCGACGGAAAAGGCGGACAAGTGGTACAATTTGAAATTCAAAAATACATAAAGTGGTGGTTAGAAAAGGAAATAAATACACAGAAGAAAGAAACGGGCTATCTGGTCAAAAACAAAGATGTAAAACCATCCTCGACAAAAACCGAAGCCTACTCTTAGGACGAGTCATTCAGACTCGACCAGAGTGGGGGGACAAGATGATATGGGATATTGTATACTAGACCGATTTACCAGGGCAACCGGAGAAAATAGGTCGGACCGACGGATTACCTGAGTAAGGAAAGGTCGAGTGACCCGGTCGAGAAAGGCCAGGCGCTAGTAATAAAGGAACAGAGAGGAGACAGCAGAGATCGGACGTGGTCGACAGATACGAACCACCGTGAGTGGTCGAATAGGGCGTGGTCGCAGAGGATTGGTCGAATATCAGAGTACACAAGGGAATCTCCAACACGTGAAAGGAAGGACGCGTGGTGCACTGTGAGTGGCTACATAGCTGCAACGGACTCTGACATTCTCTGACAAAGAGGACGCGTCTCCTGACACCAAAGATAGTGGAGGCGCGCGGCTGTACGGATGAGCAG